TATCTACTCAAGGGGGGACTATAAGAGTCAAGGTTTAAGGCTTACAGACTAAGATCAAACAAGATCTAGTGCCAAGGCTTGCAACTCTTGTAGAATAGAGCTTCGGTCCTGGAGTTCAGGACTACAGGTTTAAGGAAGGCATATTACGACAAGGCTTCATTGATCGGGCCCCTGTACACCAAGACCTTTGCGTGTCTGGGCATTTGAAGGTTCCCATCCTCTAGATTTGAGCTGCAACCTATCAACAACTTGCACAAAACCATGAGCATATGAAAACTGTAGCCCCACTAACCTTGAGAGCATCCGAAACTCTAAGCTACAAGCGCTCCTGCTACGGTAGAGCCTTCTTTTTCGGACTTATCGGGTTCCATGTCTGCAGCTTGCGGGCGGGGATGGAAAGCCTAAACCCCAAGTCTGCATGAACGTCTATCTGAGCCCGGGGAAGGTATCCAGAGCAAAGGTCTCAGCGCATAGAGAGATTCCGCCGGTCACTTCAGCTACAGTCCTCATGCACGAGAAGGGTGCGCAATTGTTTCAAGTAGAGCCCGGAGTTGCACCGCGTACATTCCTAGTTTTCTTTCGCATGCATCCTACATCCTAAACCTTAGTAATCCTAAAATTTATATCCCCAACTCCAAAACGTAAGAATCCTAAACATCATGCACCCGACACCATAGACACCATAAGCCCCAAATGATCCTCAACTCCAACCCCTATAAAGAGCAGCACCTTGGTTTGAGTCTTCTACCTCTGCCTCTGCTGTGCCTCACGCACGAGGAGGGGGGGGGCTTAGGGCTGAAGGACTTGGGGGCATAGGCAAGTACATGTTTGCGGTTACTGATGCTTTACCGACCCTGAGATGGGAGGGTTTCTGAAAACAGGGGGGGGGGGGGCCCTTAGGGCACCCTAGGGATGTTTGAGGACTATGAAGAGATTTTGGCGGTCATGGGGTGGGGAGTGCCAAGTGATTTTTCTCACCCACACTCTCATCAAGAGCTACCTGCTTCCGCGTGAGTCTCCACTGCCAGATTCCCGAAACATTGGTTGGAACGGGGACTAATGGCCATTGGAAGAAAAAAGCCACTAGGGGACAATTGAGAGTTTTGGATAAATCGGGGGTTTATGACGTTTGTACCTTTCCTAGTAAGCTGTTGCCACATTGAGTTGGCTTGTGCGCAGAGTAAACAAGGCAAGTTGCATAGGAGTTTTGGGTCCAGACGTTTCAATTAAGACTTTCAGGCATTGCAATACGGGAGTGCAATGTTTTTTGGTGGAGGAGGATGAGGTTGGCAGAGTGTGTATCAGACGCTGAAAAACGTATAGGGGGTTGTAAAAACCTGAAGCCCTACAACCAAAATTATGCGCCCTGAAAGCACAAGCCAAAGCCCAAAGAGGATATACTTTGGGCTAATCAATACCTACACAAGAATCACTTGTCAGGTCCAATTTTTTCCCAACAAAGACCCTCAGTTGGCCCTACTTATATTGAGAATTTAGGGTTCAGGGTTTGAAGCCATTTGATGCCCAGTCCCAAGACCCCAATGAGCCAAGGGTTGGATTGGGTCCTTGCCCCTTCCAGGACCTGTCCCTACAAGGGCTTTATTCCTTAGGGTTTAGGGTTTAGGGTTTAGGGCTTTATTCATGGGCATTTATAAGCTGCTGTTACCCATTGTGAAATGACCTAGTCAATGAAAGGGGCTATTTATCTGCTTCACTCAGGGTCGGAACAAACAAAGAAACAAGCTTTTATTATCGGCTCCAAATCTACCAAAAAAAAACTTGTGAGGCCTAGCGTCTATAGACTCTAGTACCTACTGAGTTGGTAGTACCTACTTCCTTCCACTTGTATCCCTCTGCCTGCGGGCACCGCCTCGGGTGATAGCTTCAAAGTTCCTGGTTCACTGATGCTGGCTTAGGGCAGCTTATGGAAAGGGACTTGAGTGGTTAGTATATTCCTATTTATTCCTACGATATTCTTGTTGTTCCCTGTTTGAGGTTCCCCTTAAAGTCCTTTTAGTATGGTGCGGAGAGCAGAAGGAATGCTAGAGGCGTGTAGGAGTCAAAGATGTAGTCCTTTTTTTTTTTGTCGGACCTTTTCTCCTCAGCCAGCAGATGTAGGGTTTAGGCTTTAAGGTTCAGGGTTTGAGGTTTCCTAAAAATTTCAGGTGTGTCAGTTGAGGGCTGGACAGCTGCCTAGACCATAGGCGTCTATATAGGGATTACTGTAGTTGTGAGACTCTGCGTCTTACTGTCATAGAGATTCATTGCTGCTCTCCCCCTGCTGAGCACGTTTGAATCTACAGTGGGGCATGTGGGGCGGGAAGAAAAGCCCAACAGCAAGATATCGTGGAAGATTACCAGCAAATCAGCAAACAAAGAAGAGTTTGTATGCCAACCTATGTACCGAAAATTACTAAGAGCCGCAAACTTGCCCTCAAAGAGAAGTCAAGGAATCTTTCTGGTTCAGTCTGCTTTACCAGTTCGGCAGCTTGGTCCTAAAACCCGGGCACAACTCTAAAACCCTAAGCCCTATAAAACCCATATCCGCCAAGCCCGCAACAGCCCGACAATCAAGGAAAAGCTTTGCTCATGCCCGAAATCTAGCCGGTTCTAGGTTACTGTTCAGGAATTTAAACTAAGTAACCCTAATATGAGTATATACTTAGGATAGGCACTGAATTTAAGTTCCTGAACAACGACCTAGAATTTCCTTATCTGGCGTAAGATGCATACTGCGGGCATAGAGTTGTATGGCTACCTAGCCATACTAGCCCCTTTTTGACCCAAACCTGGCTCCGCCGCTACTCTCCCAAGAAGAGCAAGCCACTTTAAGACTGGCCTGGCCCCTTGTACAACCTGCCTGCAAGAGCTATAATCCCTCTTAAGTAGATAGAATATGGGGTATATGGGGATCTTATTATAATACACCCAAAGCCATATTCTATCTACTTAAGGGGGAGTATAGACTCATGGAGGTTTCGGCTTGCACCCCTAAGAACTGTGAACTTGGGCTCTATGAGGAGCAGGGGGATAAGGGCATTACTTCGGCTGGGCAATGATACATGGGATAGCCAAGAAGAGCAGAGAATCATCTCCAGCAATACACTAAGAGCTGAGGTCCTTAACAGGAGCACAGAAAAGCGCATTAGCCGAAGTTCGGATGCACGCAGCTGCAGCAACCAACTGAACGCAGCATCAGGAAGTGGGAGATGAGGCTAATTATACTTCTTCTGCGTAATCTCCTAAACCCTGAGCCCAGCACCTGCATCTGGCTCTTCCAGATCTGTTTCCTCCCGGCCTGCCCGAGGAGCTACCCCCAACAGCAGGTTTGAGGATGTGGGGTTTGAATGTCTTGAAAAAAACAGACAGAGGAGCACTTACGCTACGATAAACCGTAGGCCTTAAACCCTAAAGCACTTACCATACGCCGCCTAAGTTGTTGTCTGGGGTGCTTTGCAGGTATAATCCCAGTTTAGTAGATAGAATATGGGGTACATGGGGATCTTATTAGAATATACCCAGAGCCATATTCCATCTACTTAATTAAGGGGGACTATAGGGATTCAGGCCTAGGATTTCAGGACCAACACAAAAATCCACCATCACCAGGGCGAAAATTGGTCATTGCTAGAGAGTATAATACCCTTAACCCCCCAAACCCTAAAACCCTAAACAAGATGAGGTCTCTCGGTAATCCTACTATACAGTTTTGGCCGGGTGGGAGCGTAACTCGAGACATACGAGGCGTGTGGGAGGTTCAAGGATGCCCGAGGTTACATGGAATTGTAGGTAGGGCCGCTGATAGATGAGGGGTTATGTAAGAATATGTAAGGGGTTGTAGACAAAACAATGGAAAATAATATTTAAAAACAACTGTATTGGGCGTTGGGGGCGTGCTGGGCTTCTGGAAGTTCAGCTTACAAGGTTGTCGGCGTTGCTGCCGCAGGGCATATGGATTTGCTGGCCTTGGTGGTCCCATACACCATCTTCCTTAGTTAGGGACGACAGGCTGCCGTGGGCGCGTGGCGAATTAGTTGCGGGGCATTGTCCCGAGGTGTTCCGTGCATTCCCTGATCACGCAGCAGGCATTGGGGATTAGTGCTGGCTGCGGTGTATCCCTCGCCTCTTAGGCCACGTCCCGAAAAGCTCAGGGTCCAACCTGACACCCTAACCGAAAGAGCATCATTAAAAGTACCAACATTTCTTTGCAACACTTGTGCAAGATCAGACAGACACCAGACATCCCACAAGGCCATAAAACCCTCGAATTTGAAATCCTTACCCAGAGGGTCCAAATACCCAATACTTAGGTACTTGGGGTTTTGGAATATAGTAATCACAGTAGAGGTTTTGGGTAATCATATGGTTAATATTGGGTACTGCCCCCCCCTCAGTAACAGTTCGATAATAAGGTTATATCTAGCCCTTAATAGGACCCCCAATATAGCCTGTTAGTGGGTGGGGGCAGTACCAAAGGTTCTTCGGTACTTGGACCCTTGGGGTTAGCATCCGCCTGGCATCAGCTCCTCTGGCTCTGCCTCCCCAGCTCCTGGAACCCCACCCAAACAGGTTTTGGGTTTAGGGTTAAGGGTCTAGAGTTTAGGGGGAATTTTCCTTTGTACCCGTAGGGTTTGTACCATCGGGTTTGGGTCCCTAAACTATGGAATATGGTTCGTAATAAGCGTGCAATTTTAGGGGCCCCAAACCTAGGGTTACAAACCTGAAGGGTACAAACTTAGTCTTTGTGACAAAGTCCTGGGGCTGGGGATCTGCAGTTCGGGTAACTTATTGGGAGGTTCCGGGCAGCTAGAACCAAACCATGAAGCATGATCTGAAGGACCATATAGGGGTTGATATAGAGGCATACAGGGTTTAGGGTAAGTGTAGCCCAATACTTCCAAAGCTAATGAGCAAGAACATGGAAAATGACACGAAACACTGTACTGCATAGGGCTACATAGGCGTAAAGGGCTTTGTAGTGTTAACCCACAAATGACTTGTACTTGTAATCAAGTTGTCATCATACTAAGACGTTTAAAATGCTTATCATTGGTTTATGAGGACGATTATGCTTAGGCTACAATTACCTTGAAGCAACCCCCCCTATTTGCTATATGCCCATAGTATGGTAACTTTTAAGCCCCAAACCCCAGACTTCATATACACATGTTATGGTAACTTAATTTACTTTCCTTGACAGAAGCCAAGAGTATGGCAGGGCCTGGGGAATGAATTATCGGATGTTAGGACACCTCGTGGCTTAGGCTTGAGCGTTTAGGGTGCTAAGACTACTATCCCTGCAGATGGTCCTAATCATGTGGGTGGTTGTCAAAATTATGGTCCCTTTGTGGATTCCCATTATAATACGGCACCCAATATTTAGGATACCCAAGAAGGAACCATAATTTTGACAACCACCCATGTGGCTTTCCAAGGTCTTGCGGAGGGAACATGATTTCCATGTGCCCCTTGCTCCGTTGTCGGAGCTATAGGAGGCCTGACTCTCCGGGGATTCTGGCGCCACACCCTGAACCCTTAACTCTTGGCCCCCAGCTCCAAAACGCTAAAGTTACATACCCTGTACACCCTAAGCTACCTACAAAAAAAGGAAACTTCAAAATCCTCAGCCCTGTGGTAAGCTTGCAGCAACTACAAACCTTAAACCCTAAACCCTAAACCCTAAACTCTAAACCTACAACCAGGAACAGGCACGGCCTGGAAAGTCCCGCACTTCTGCAGTGACATCCGCCGCAGGCTGGGTCTCCACCTGTCGAAAGGATTTAGGGCTAGGTGTTTAGGGTTTAGGGTTTAGGGTTTTGGGTTTAGGATTTGGGGGTTGGGGTTTAAGATTTGGGGCTTAGGATTTACGGTTGGGGGTTTAGAGTAGGGATTCGGATCTGGGACCTGTACCTGAAACCCTGAGCCAACCAGTTTTTGAGGCACAGCAGCCTTTCACTGCATCATGAAATCGCACTTTTTCCTGTTGTGGATATTAGCTCAAGCTAGGACTCGTTAGGGTTTAGAGGTTTCGGGTTTAGGGCCAATTGCTCAACTTCCTCAGCCGGAACTCTCCAAGCATAATTCGAGGTCAACAATGGATAAGAGCCTCTAGATTGAAAAACGTTGTTTCGGGCAACTTCAGGCCAATGCACACCCTTTAAAGGCAAAGGCAGCTTTGGGTCACGCGGTTTAGAGTTTAGGGTTTAGGGTTAAAAACATGTCCAGATCCCTCTAAACAAGAGGACAGCAGTGATTGCTCAACACAGTTGATCGAATTACAGACGATTTTAAATATCTTGTGGACTTACTCTTACTTGGAGGGTCAGGGGGACTTAGGATAGGTGAATAACCCTTATAAGCCATATAATAGCCCCAAATATCCCTTTTATTAATCTACTCACTAAGTCCCCCTGACCCTCCAAGTGATCAGATTCAGGAGCCCGCTTTATAAAGTTTACGGCTTAGGAAGGCTCATTCTGAAACCTGATTTGCTTACAATCCCCCTTAAGTAGATAGAATATGGGGTATATGGGGATCTTATTATAATACCCAAAGCCATATTCTCTACTTAAAGGGGACTATACTAGGTTACTACTTGGAGGGTCAGGCAGGGGACTTAGTACGTAGGTTAATACCCCCACAGGCCATATAATAACCCCCCAATTATCCCCATTATTAACCTGCCTACTTAGTCTCCGGGACCCTCCAAGTACAGTAGAAATTAAAAGCTGAAGGCTCAAACGCTGCTTCCCGAGCTACCCCTTACTGAGCTTTTGTGAAAGGGTCTGTGTTCATTTCTAGAAACCGAAGATCCAGGTTTGTAAGCACATTTGGGCTACAGCCATAGAACCCTAGCCTTTTTCGCATCTGGTCTCCTAGAACCCTAGCCCTAAACTCCTGAACCCTGAGCCCCAAGCCCCTGACCCCTAAACTGCTGTCTAATGCCATGCCGCGCCTCCTCAAACGAGTCCTGCGCTGCTCAACAAGAATCCCAAGTCCCTGAGATAAGGAATACACCATCAATGATCCAAAAAATCCTGGCCTAAACCCTAAACCCTAAACCCCAAACCCTAAACCCTAAACCCTAAGCCAAGGGTACTGAGGGTGCTGGGAAGGGCGTGCTGTACTCCGTAACCATAGGTATAGCGTAGGTGGAACCGCCACCCAGCAATAGTGATCATAAGGGTTTAGGGTTTAGGGTTTAATAGTGACCATAAGGGATAATAGAGATTTTATTGCTGTCGTATTCCCATTATACCACCCTTCTTGTACCCACATTTTCTAGACTTGGGGGACTTTGAGCCGGGTTCATACCCTAAACCCTAAACCCTAAACCACGGTTTTGGGCTTAGGGCAACCCTCTAGGCAGCTGTGTGTGCTTTTGGGTCGAGCTTTAGGACCGTTGTTTGTGCATTAAGGCCAGGGTTCTTGCGCATGTGCTGGAGGGAGTTCCTTGGGTCGACCTCAACGAGGTAAAAGCTCAGGGGACCCAGTAAGGAAAGCAAAAGCACATGGAAGCCTAAACCCTAAACCCTAAACCCTGAAGCTACGCATGTTTTAGGGTTTAAGGTTTTGGGGTTGGGCTCAGGAGGACATCGTAAGTAGGCTATCGGGGCTGCCATCCCCAAGTTGGGGGCGTATAGGAGTTTAGGATATAGGGTTTAGGGTTTAGGAGTTTAGGGTATAGTTTAGGGTACATATGACCTCTGAGCTTTCAAGGCATGTTCCAGATGAAGTTGCAAATAAGGGAGTCAATTTCACAAGGATCATATGAGCCAATGTCTAAGCTCCTAGTACCCCCCTTAAGAACCCCTATAGTAGTCCCCTATATAATCCCCGATATAACCCCCCTTTAAGGAGTTTAGACTATAGCTCATGTAGGGATTATAGTCTAATAAGCCTTTGGACAGGATGCGGAGGCTCAGGCCTGCCCCCCGCCCCTAAAAGTCAATACCCACATTGCAGTTTAGGGTTTGGAGTTTGAGGTTTAGGGTTTTCGGGTTTAGCACAGTTAGACCATATTTCGAGGGCAACAATCATTATTCTGCGTTAGGGGGATTGTTGTTTGCGGGGAGGATTACAGCAATCTGATGGCACGAAGCTGCCTACTTAAAGGATCTGGGGACTTAGTAAGCAGCTTGTAAATGGGCTTATAAGCCCGCTAGTTAGGTTGGCCTGTTTATGGCGCAAATATGAGTTCCCTGAGCCTCTAAGTAGGATAAGCAATTCCCTTCTGATTCTGGTTCAATGTGAGGGTTACATTGCTTCAATGACATTGTCAATGTCATTGAAGCAATTAACCCTCAACCCTAAACCCACAAACGCAGGCAAGCTGCGGGAACGCCACAAAGAAGAAGGTGTTACGTTTAAACCCATCAATTCATAAAATGAACTGTCATGACTAGCCCTTGAGATGTCCTCCTTTCCCCCAAAAGACATTAGGTTTCCAAGAACTATGGGCTCCCTTTTTGTACTTCCTGTATGATGGAGGCTGCAGCATTTTGTGGATGTATGTGTGTATATGTATGTGTATGTATGTATGTATGTATGTATATGTGTGAATGCATGTCTGTATGTATGTATGTATGTATGTATGTATGTACGTACATCTGCTAGAGAGACCCCCTGTTTTCGTCAACTCTGCCCGAGGAACCTCCTCCCACCGGACACTCTCAACATCCCCAAACCCAAAGGGTCTATGTAGGTATATGGGATATACTTGGGCCTTAAAGTAAGTATATGGGAACCCCTTTGGGCCCTAAGTATATACCATATACCTACATGGACCCTTTGGGAAAGCGCATCCGCTATAACAACAAGCGTCCAAGGGATGCAAGGTCTAGTTCCATCCTAGGTTTAGGCGTTTAGGGTTTAGGGCCTAGGGTTTAGGCTTAGGCTTTAAGCTTTAGGGTTTAGGGGTTAGGGTTTAGGGCTTAGGGTTTAGGCTTTAGCGTTTGAGGTTTAGGGTTTAGGGTTGAGGGCTTAGGGTTTAGGCTTTAGGGTTTAAGCTTAAGGGTTTGGGGCCTGGGACAGAAATAAGGTCAGTATACCTTCACGCAATAGGGAATATACGAGCCTATGGAGTAATCGTACATCCCTCGTTGGGTTTTCTGTCTTGAAGAAATGACTCAGTATGGGGCCTTCGGTTTCTACATGTCTACACTTTGCAAGTGGCTCAACATGTATAAGCCCTCATCCCAAACCCTAAACCCTAAACCCTAAGCCCTGAACCATACACCCTGAACTCCAAACCCTAAACCGTAACCCCTAAAACATAAACCCTGAACCCTAAACCCTGAATCCAAGTTCCTGAATCATAAACCCTGAACCTCAAACCCTAATCCCTAAATCCAAATCCCAAAACCATAAACCCCCAAACCCTAAATCCAAAGCCCTAGCCATAAATCCTAAACCCAGGTCCCTAAATCCAAATCCCTAAACCATAAACCCTGAACCCCAAACCCTAAACCCTAATCCCGAAATCCTAAGCCCTAAAGCCTAAAACATAAACCCTGAACCTAATCCCTAAATCCAAATCCCTAAACCATAAACCCTGAACCCCAAACCCTAAACTGCGTTCGCACTCCTCTGGCTCGAAGTCATCCCACTCATCGTCGCCGTACTGGTCAGAGAAGACAGTGGATCCCAAATGGTCCTTGTGATTTTGGTTAGGGTTTAGGGCTTTAGGGTTTAGGGTTGGGGTTTAGGGCTTGGGGTGCAGAGTTTTGAGATTTAAGTCCAAAATCTTCACGCTAAACCTTAAACCATTTCTATTGCGCGAGCTTTAGGGTTGTTGCCCCGCTTTGGGAGGGCCCCAAGACCTCTGGAAACACCCTTGAGCACCAAAACCGTAAGACCTAAACCTCTAAGTTCTAAACCCGGGGAGTCGACCTCCGACGTCCGAAAGGCTCTTGCCGTGGATTCATGACCCAAGTAATTTTAGGATTGAGCACTCAGGGTTTAAGGCAAAAGGTAATTCCGTAACTCCATGTGTGAAGGGTACATAAAGTGCTACGTAAATCCTCCGTCCACAGAAGTGGGAACGGTCCTTCCAACCCTAAATCCTAAACCTTTGGAGGAACCCCCACCCTGTAATAGTGGAATAACAGGACTATAAGAGGACCCTAATATAATTACCATTATCCCTTATAGTCACTATTACTGGGTGGGGGTTCCACCTAACCTAAACCCCTCAAGCAGAGCTCTTGGAGTGAGACCCTCCACTTCTGACTCTGAAGGGGGAGTGCACCCTGTACAGATCCTGGTAAAGCCCCTATGGTCATCCTTAAGTAGATAGGATTCAGGGTTTAGGATTTACGGTTTAGGATTTAGGGTGTAGGGTATAGTCCCCCTTAAGTAGATAGAATATGGGGTATATGGGGATCTTCTTATGACATACACGAAGCCATATTCTATCTACTTAAAGGGAACTACAAATCCGTATGATCATCCCAGCATTCCTTCCCATACTCTCCTTAAGCACCGGTAAGTAAACAACCCTTTGGCAGCAGGCTTGCAACTCTCCACGCCTGGTGAGAGTTGCAAGCCTGCTGCAAAAGGGTTGTTTACTTTAAGTAACCCTAAACCCTCCAATAACCCAAATCCCATACCCTATAAGCCCTACCTGGACCGCCTCTAGTGGCGGAATTTAATGTCCACTTTGACTGGTGCCTGAAATTTCAGGCGGAGCCATGAATTCCTGCCACTATGCATGAGTACTTGATTTCTTGGGTTAAGAGGATTGAAGGTTTCGCTGCAGGCTGCATGATTCAGGCTCATCGCCACTTTTTATCCTGTGAAGCGGGGATGACAATCTCTTGAAACTCATGGTGATTCCCAAGCCAACCATAGCCTATGAACTTCCTCTTGACTTTATAGATCTATGGGGTCATAGCAATAAAGATGTAGCGAATCTGCAGCCGACCATGCTGCATCGCTTCTCGTGGCCGCCGGATGGCCTGCAGAGGCAGGGGTTCGCATGGGATCGCTGAAAAGTATAATGAGTCAAATGAGCCAATAAATTTCAATAAGCATGAACCTTTGTGGCCACATTCCTTCATGCTCTCTTCAAGATTATACTACATGTCTCCCCATCAGTGGCACAGGTGTTGCTCGTGGATGCAGGGCATTCAGCCAACAGCTACAGGTGAAACTGGCATGTTTCAGCAATGGCGTAACATTCTGTGAGGGTGAAGCTCATGTGTTGGATGTTTACTGGTGGATACATATTTGGCCCGAAAGATTTTGGCTTCAAGCCTGATCTCTTGTGTTGAGGGAGTTCTGAGGGAGTCCCTTGTAGATTTGTCTTGGCCGGATGGCTGCTTCAGGGTCTTCGGAATCACCTGGGCCTTCCATGGTGGAGTTTCATGAGTCCGAGATTGGCTTTGCGGGCATGGCTGAGGGTTGGGAACGCTGTGTTTCCGTGAGAAGTCGATTTCGAAAGAGCCTGCCATGGCTTCAGTTTCCGATCCCACCTAAGAAAGCTGTGGAAATTCCTGCAGGGACTGGGGAGGGCACTGAGGAGGGGTTGCCCAAGAACCCACACGGGCCCTCGACCCGGGCCCTGGAGCTTAATTGGGAGATATTGGACAGCATGCTGAGCTCTTACACGGGTGAGTTCATCGACATTGATAGGATTAGCAAGGAGGCAGGGTTGACATTTTTGGCACACCATGCTTGTATAGTCACCGGTTTTGATTTTATTTCATGTGCATGAACTTTTCTTGAGGTGAAGCGATTGTTCCGAATTGCGCAGTACACCCCGGAGAAGAGTGGTGAAGCAAATTGGGATGCCTGGGACTTGAGGATGCTGTGGACATACCTTTGGCGACGCTCGAAAGATAGTATCCAAAGGGGTCAGCAACCGAGGGACTGGTGCGCTGTTCATGAAATTCTGGTTGGCTGCACATGTAGCCTGTGCTTTGACTTGGCTTTGAACCATATCTAGACCAGTGTAATACATTATAATCAGAATGCCATGCAGGACCCCAACCTTCGTGCCTTGTTCAATCGTGTGGACCGCTTGCGAAGAGATCTTGAGAATCAGTACGCGAGTGTCAATGATGCCCCCGAAGAAGATGATGATAGCGGCTTGTATGAAGAGGTGCCAAGTATGGAACCCAATGACCTCCCCACGAGTACCGCTCCCGAGTCTCCTGGAGCAAGTGTGCCTACAAGCTCCCCCAGATTTCTCAAGCGCCGAAGCATTCTTTCGGATGAGGGGTCCAAAGAAATCTTGGAGACTCCGGCCTCCACGCTTTCGAATGCCTTTGAGATCCCTGCAGACATGTCGGAGAGTGAGAAACAAGAGCTTGCGGATCTGCTCCTGCAAATCCAGCGTGTGGAGTTGGGGTGCAATCCTGAGTTATCAATCCCTCATGAAAGTAGGTTCCCAGTTTTTACAGGGTTCTTGAATCTGCTCAGGCACTCCGAGACTCCTCCCACGGACAAGTTTGACAATGCAGGCAGGGTCCTTTTGCATTCGTGTCAGTGAGTTTAGAAGCCCATTCAAGGATGCACTAGAAAGCCCACTCAAGGAGGCCCTTAAAATATTTGGGAGGTGTGGTTGGAACTGCTTGCTTTGTGAGCCCGGATCAGGCAGGAATGCATGCGCCTTTCTATAAGGGGACTTTGAATGTTTGAATTAAAAGTTTAGTTCTTGTGGGGACCCATGCCTCAGCCATGTAGGTGGAAACCCAAGTGATGGTCTTTCCTGAGAATGAGGGCGTTGCGGAGATTGGAGAGGACCCAATTCCAAGTCCAAGCGTTGTCACCCCAAGCCCGATGACTTTGCCTCCGCCTGCCTTTACTCCAGAGAAGGTGCTCCACGTATTGAGGGATGTTGTGTTTTTTCCATGCGACAGCTTCCCAAGTGCATGTTTTCGGAAAGCTCGGGTTTAGAGATATGATAGTCTGACATGTTTGTCATCTGCCCTCAGGTGCCCGAGCCTGATGAGAATATGGTGACACCGCAGATGCAGGCGGCCTTGCGTTCGGCGAAATACACAGCCGCCAAGAAGGACATGGATGAGAAGAAGTCTGGCAAAAAGACCCGAAAGGGTGGTGTGCTCAAAAGACGTTTGAGCAAGATGCGAGTTATTTCGCGGCGAGGCAAGAAGCATGCAAAGAAGGTTGATGGCGGTTGGGATGAGGCTTGGGATGCTGCTGATACAGCAGCCTCCTCCGGCGATCAGCCTTGCGCAGATGATCACCCTCATGAGGATGATGAGCAGGAAGCTTGGGAAGACGAGACTCCCAAGCGGGAGCCCAAGAGCTTGGGAAAGCCCAAAGCGAAGGCAAAAGCCAAGGCAAAGGCGACAGCCAAGGCAAAGGCAAAGGCAAAGGCAAAGGCTACCTTCTAAGCCGGTTGCCTCCTTTTTTCAGGGGTCAACCAGAATTACTGGGGAATACTGCTCCTTCCTGCGTATTTCCTGGAAATCCCAAAAAAAACTGGTAATTCCATTTAACCCTGAAA